GCCTGTTGATGATGACCCTCTCAAGCAGTTTATCAGTGGTGTCCAGCAAAAAAAAGGGCCTGTATGCTGACGGGTCCCCAGGGGGTTTTCCTGACTTCGGGAGAAACACCAGCCTCTGCCGCTTCCACGCATCTGGGAAGATGCGTACGTCCAGACAGGTCTGAAATACAGACCTAAACATGTCTGGATTTTCCACGACGGCCGCCCTCAGAGCCACAACCGGGATCCCATCCGGGCCCGGGGCCTTGTCCACCTCCAGCGACTTGGCAATGGCGGTCAGTTCACTGTTAGTCACTCTAGACACTTCTCCCTGTTCCGCGGCTGGGATACCCCGCGGCCAGGAGTCAACGTCCCTACGTGGAAACAAGGACTGCACGATTTGCGCTGGCATCGCCGGCGATCTCTCCGGGGGTGCCGCCACGCCACGGGTCTTGGCAATGACCACTTTGTAGACATCCCCCCAGGGGTTCGTGTTAGCGCTTTGACATAAGCCAAACGGCCTTAGACTCGTCGATTTTGCCACCTCTAAGAACATGGCCATACGTAGTACCTACTTCCAGCATAGCCTCCCATATGAGTACACCTGGAGATAACCGCAGCACCACGTTTTGATCGACGGAAGGCACTTCTCGGACATTATCGACGTCAGGACCTATTGCGGCGCAAATATCGATTCGAACACCTTCAAATGGTCACGGTACAATCTGGAGCGACTGAAGCTGTCCTAAGTCGCAACTGAGTATGTGCACTCGACGCAGCGTTGCCGGATGAGGGAGAGCTCACCGAAGCCCCTCTTGAGGACTGCTGGACCAACGTGAAAGCAGCCATTAACAGTGCTGCTGAAGGTGCCATTGGGTTCGTGGAGCGGAATCGACGGAACGATTGGTTCGACGAAGAGTGTCAGACGGTTTTGGACGAGAAGAACGCACCGCGGGCGGCGATGCTGCAGCAAGGAACCCATCATAATGTGGAGCGATATAAACAGAAGCAAAGACAGCAAACCCATCTTTTCCGGGATAAGAAGCGCCGCCTGGAAGAGCTGGAATGCGGGGAAATGGAGCAGCTGTATCGTTCTCAAGAAACACGCAAGTTCTACAAGAAACTCAACGCATCCCGCCAAGGCTTTGTGCCGCGAGCCGAAATGTGTCGGGATAAGGAAGGGGGTATCTTAACGGACGAACGTGAGGTGATTGAAAGGTGGAAACAGCATTACGATGAACATCTGAACGGTGCAGAGGCGGAGGACTAAGGCGGCAGGATGAATGGCTTCGTCGGTACTGCGGATGAGGGGGACAAGCCAGCTCCCACGATAGGTGAAGCTAAGGATGCTATCCGACAGCTTAAGAACAACAAAGCAGCTGGGAAAGATGGTATCGGAGTGGAACTTATCAAAATGGGCCCGGATAAGTTGGCTACTTGTCTGCACCGACTGACAGTCAGGATCTGGGATACAGAATAGCTACCGAAGGAGTGGAAAGAGGGAGTAATATGTCCAGTATATAAAAAAGTCGACAAACTTAACGCGGCCTACAAAGTGCTTTCCAAGATCATCTTCCGCCGTTTATCGCCGCTAGCAAGCAGATTTGTGGGAAGTTATCAAGCCGGTTTTGTGGACGGGCGATCGACAACGAACCAAATCTTCACGTTGCGGCAGATCGTCCAAAAGTGTCGTGAAGATCAAGTCCCTACGCACCACCACGATTGCAAGGCCGCTTATGATACTATTGACCGTGAAGACCTATGGAAGATATGAACGAGAACGGTTTTCCCTGGAAGCTGACCAGACTGATCAGAGCTACGATGGATGGTGCACAGTGCTGCGTGAAGATATCGGGTGCGTTATCGGACTCGTTTGAAACTTGCAAAGGACTTCGACAAGGCGATGATCTTTTCTGCCTCCTGTTCAACATTGCGCTAGAAAGTGTTATGAAACGTGCGGGCTTTAACATGCGGGGTATGATCTTCAATAAGTCCAGCCAGTTCATCTGCTTCGCTGACGGCGTGGACATTTTCGGAGAAAGTTTCAGGCCGTGGTGAGCAGTACACCAGAATACGACGAAAGACAAAGTATCTGTTGGCTGGAGGAACCGAGCGGGATAGGGCTCGAATAGGCAGAAGCGTGACAATCGACGGAGATGAGTTCGAGGTGGTGGATGAATTTGTGTACCTCGAATCATTGGTGACGTCGGATAACAACTGCAGCAGCAAAATTCGTCGGCGTATTATTGCCGGAAGTCGTACTTACTACGGACTCCACAAGACTCTGAGGTCGGGTAAACTTCACCTTCGTACTAAATGTACCATTTACAAGACGCTGATAAGACCGGTAGTTCTCTACGGGCACTAGACGTGGACGATTCTCGAGGAGGATCTGCAAGCACTGGGTGTTTTCGAACGACGAGTGCTTAGGACCATCTTTGGCGGGGTATGTGAGAACGGTGTATGGAAGCGAAGGATGAACCACGAGCTGGCGCAACTCTATGGCGAACCCTGTATCCAGAAAGTTGTGAAAGCTGGGCGGGACACGTTTTAACAATCCCGTAAAAATGGTGTTTGTCTCGAATCCGGCCGGTACAAGACGAAGAGGAGCACAGCGAGCAAGGTGGTTAGACCAAGTGGAGCAGGATTTTAGTAATATGGGACGGTCAAAAATTGAAGACAAGCAGCCACGGACCGAGTGAATTGGCGTAACATTGCACAGTGGTCCAGAATGCAGATTTAGGTGGAATGATATGTTTTGAGCCTGAAATTGAAACTTTAGAATAAAAGTCTCTTCTACAAAGTTGTTCCTTATAGTTAGGCCCTCATTTTTATGACAATGAATTCTAGAGTGGTTCCTATTATCATTAAAATCAAAAATCTAACTTTTTTTTTAATAAACTAAGGTATACATTCTTCGCAAAGTTATAGCTGAGCTAATTTCAAGCAACTTTGTTGAAAACAACTTTTTTGTATCTCTTAAATTGGCCGATTTAGAGCTATTTTCTTTAATTGAGTTAGGGTGGCTCTTAAAAAAATAGTTGTTTTGCTCTAGTTTTCTTATTTCGAATTTTTCAGCAAAGGTGTTTTGAGATAACTTTTAGATCTTAAGAAGGCGCAAATTTTTGCTTCACAAAGCTTGTCAATATCTTTCGCCGATAAAGAGTTATTGACGTTTTTATACTAAAAATATGCATTTTTCAAATGTTAATATCTCTGGTTGGGGCAAACAAAAAAAAAGTTTTTTTACGGCATTTGAAAGAGCGTATGTTATTCTCAATAATATGAAAAAACTGGAGGTATGTTATTTTTTAAACCCGTATAAAATTATTTTGAATTTATTCATGTATTTTACTATATTTGGGTACATCTTTTTTATTAGAAGAGATACATACAACAAATTCAACATTCGTCTTGAAGAGTTTTAAAATTCTCTAGAATATAACTTTCATGAGAAATTTCAAATAAAAAAGTTATTGCTAAAAAACTATTTTTTCAGGAACACCCTAAGTCAACTCCGAAAAATTACTCTTAAATGAGAATGCTAAGAGATAGAAAAAATTTTCTTCGACAAAGTTGCTTGCGATTAACTTAGCTACAACTTTTTTAAACAGCACATGTTTTTATTTTGTAAAACAAAAAAGTTAGTTTTAAAAATTCCCAATTTGAGGACCACCCTGACGTTTGCAAACACCAACAGAAGGGAATTTTTAAGAACAAAAACTTTTTCGAAGACACTAAATGTCCAAATATTGAAACAAATGTACTAGCACATTTTATATAAATTTGTCATTCGAGTGGTCCTATGAAATCCATCTTTTGCCAATAACTTTTTTATTTGAAATTTATCATGAAAGTCATCTACTAGAGACCTTTAAAACTCTTTAAGACGAAAGTTTTATAGCTCACATGTATCTCTTCTAATAAAAAAGATATACCCAAATAAAGTAAAAAAGATTAAAAATATCAAATTGATTTTATACGAGTTTAAAAAATAACATACCTCTAGTTTTTTTTTCATATTATTGAGAATAACATACGCCCTTTCAAATGCCGTAAAAAAACTTTTTTTTTGTTTGCCCTAACCAGAGATATTAACATTTGTATATTTTTAGTATAAAAACGTCAATAACTCTTGATCGGGAAAAGATATTGACAAGCTTGGTGTAACAAAAATTTGCGCCTTCTTAAGATCTAAAAGTTATCTCAAGACACCTTTGCTGAGAAATTCGAAACAAAAAAACTAGAGCGAAAAAACTATTTTTTTAAGAGCCACCCTAGTTCAATTCAAGAAAATACCTCTACATCGGCCAATTTAAGAGATACAAAAAAGTTATTTTCAACAAAGTTGCTTGAAATTAGCTCAGCTATAACTTTGCCGGAAAATGTATACCCTAATTCATTCAAACAAAAAAAGTTAGGTTTTAAATTTTAATGATAATAGGAACCACCCTAGAAAATGAGGGCCTAACTATAAGGAACAACTTTGTGGAAGAGACTTTTAGTCTAAAGTTTCAATTTCAGGCTCAAAACATATCATTCCACCTAAATCTGCATTCTGGACCACTGTGCATTGTGATGCAGGTGAAACCTGAGGGATATCGGACCAGGATAAGTAAGTAAGTCTCTATGCTAATCAATAACGCCTGAACTTCTATATTGAGAAGTTCTGTGCTTGCTTCTATACCCAGAGGAGTCAAGAACAGTTTAAACCCAAAGATGTTATAGACCGAAGCAATATTGCATATGCCCCTTGGTGATTTTGAGAAATGTAAAACTATATATTCAAGCAGCAAATAATGGGATTAAGTTTTAATTGCAAAATAACACACGTGGAAAATGTAAAAAATGCTATGAAGCTTCATATTACAAGATAATTTGAAATGTATAGTGAATCAATATAAAATGCATCCATGAATTTCCTATTACTTGCAAATATATTTAAACAACTAATTCTTCACACTAACATTCTGCAAAACACTTTGACTAATGCTCACATTCTCTCTCCATCCATTTTCCAGAAATCAATTCCACGTCAAGCGACGATAATGCGTCTGCCGTGGAAGAGGACGTTCTGTACCAGCGGGGTGCCTCGTTCAGCGCCAAGTTGGATATGTCCGATTTGCACATATCGATGAAAACCTTTGACGATGACGACGACGGGGACGGCGAAGGCAGCATGAAGCCGATAAATCTGAATGCCCTCGACGGCACTCTGTCACTGAGGAAAGCTAATCATAATTGGAAAACGAACAGCTCGAAATTGGCAGCGGCAAACGCGTCCGGTAGTGGCCGCGGGCAAACCAATTCCGTTAATAGTAGCTATAATGGTGACCACAAGAGACCAATCGGCGGACCGACGGGCAGTAGCGCTAGAAGTAAAAATAGTGCTAGCGTTAGTAGCAGTAGCTCCAGGTCAGTTCATATGGAAATCAACGGCGGCAGTTCATTACATATGCAGGATACCGACGAAAGCCATCCAGACGAAATAAAAGCTCTCGCGCTCACGGCATTCGAAGATGGGTTCGATGGCAGAGCGGAGGCAGTAGCTACGGTTTCGCCACCTGCTGTGAGTGAGGAAGTGACGGGAACGTCAAGTTCGTCTCCAGAATCGACACCCGCTGTGACGAGGTACGATATTTGCTGATTCAACTCAATCAGCAATCCACTCTACTTTGAAATGTGTCAGAATTGCTTTTTTGACGGTCCTAATTCTTTGAAATTGCTACCCCTCAACAGGGAACCATGTACGCTGGATTGTGGTTACGAAGGAATCTGCAGCAGCGGTGAAAGCGGACAACAGCAGCGATGCCTCTGCCCTTTTGGCAAGATTGGACTGCGCTGTGAAGAAGGTAGGCGTTTTTGGAAATTTCCATGCCAATAATACAACATTTCTGCCAACCCCAAAAAAAAAAACATCAGCAGCCAAAAACAGCATTAAACGATTTATCTCCATGTCTGACATTCTAACAAAGCCCAGGGTAGTGAAAAAAGTCAAGTCATTCCGAAACACAAGATGACCACATGTCTATACCCAACTCGACGGAAAACCCCGAGCAACGGCGTCTTGGTGCCAAAATGTTGTGCCCGAAAATAAAGTGACAATCGTTGTCGCGTCGTCGTCCTCGTAGTCACCGGACCCCGAACTCCCCGGTCGGGGACGGTCAATCTCCCCTTTGGAGACTCACGCTAGCCTCCAGCATGGCGATTCATAATCCTTCGTAAATTATGTTTTCCTCATGCTGGTCTCACGGGAGGATGACGACGACGGCGGCGACGTGAAAGAAGTATCTTTTTTATTATTCTAGTATGACTTGGCTGTCAGGCTGCGAAACCTACGCACCACATGCCACCAGCCATGCCAGGAAGAGGGGAGGGGGGCGAAAAGTTTTATTTTTTTTCCTAGAGCTTTGCTAACGACGGGCTGACGTGACGGGTGTTGGTTGGTCTCGTCCAGGGAGGTATCGCGCTTGAAACCGCAGCAATGCAAAAGCCACAAAATAGACGGGAAAGTTTGAGCCATCCACAGGGGGTCCACTGTAGGTGTGTTAAATAGTTAACCAAAAAAGCTCTCGATGGCTTTTCCGGTTGGGATTTTGGGGAGACTGAAAAACCGCACGGTCGCATTTAAATTCAAATCAAGTTATCAAAACGGTGAAAATTTTGCGGGTTGGGCAAGTTTGGATTATGAAGCTGTTCTTTTTTTGTGATTATGATGGTGATCGCATGGTTGATTGTAACTGAAATCACGATTCATAATAGGTTATGAAAGTTGTGTTCAACAATAATTTTAGTGTGGTTGCATGATTTAAATGAAACTTTTTTGAGACACATAAGGTCTAACAAACGCACGATTTGAACACTTCCGTGCTTTAACCCCCCCCCCCCCCCCCCTTTCCATGCACGCTTTACTAATTACAGTACCTCCATTGACTATGATCTCTCCATGAAACAGACTATCTAAGGAGATCGGATCACGCATTGATTCGGTGTCTTCAATGAATACTCAACCGCCTTCCGGAAACTTCAGGAACCTTGTTCCGTTTATGTTGCTGAGCTGGCAGCAATCAACTTCGCATTGGGGATGATTTCCGACATGGTTATCAATGGTTCAATGCGCTGATGTCTTATGATCATGCTCAATCAACTGCTCAGCAGGCAACATTGGTGTTTCTGGGGCGTTGAATAGGACACAAAAATCATGGCTACTATGTCACACTGCAAAATACAGTGTTGCCTACAGAGCAGCTGCTTGATCATGTTATAAGTTTACCAATCTCTTAAATAATTAATAACTTTTTCCTGTCTCGTTTTACATTGAAACAATCTTCAGCAAAGTTGTAGCTGAGAAAATTTTCTATAAGAATAGCTATCGAACTGTTTCGCAGCTTAATATGGAAAAAGACTAGAAGGCAATGAACAAAAAGTTGAGATTTCCCATAGTAATTTACATGTAAACTTCAAATGGCTTGTGCGAAGTCTGTTTCTAACCAAATGAGTTGTCACTTTGGGAGGCTAATCAGGACCCGATTTGAAACCATTTAAGCACTGTGGAGCGAAAAAGTCAAATTTTGCATCAGTCTAATGGTCATAGACCATTACTTCATCTTCTCGGATAGTCTCAGTTCGATTGAGGCGAACCAGAGAGGCACTCATTTTACTTCCGTATAAAAACAAGGGAGCATATGTATGCGTTGGTCGAAAGATCATTTAGAATTACCTTTGGATCCCCTCAAATTGCTCGATTCTAGGCAATAACAAGGCGAACTCTCTAGCAGCGATATTTATGATAGAAGAATTACATGATGATTTTTTTCCCATTAGTACGTCATAGTTCTCCTCTTAGTTAGAAAAAAAAAAACCATTGGATACCCAAGTAACCACCAAGCCCGTTTACTACCCGATAATCGCCCTTTTTGCGATATAAGGTAAATATAGGGTTTCCGAGCTTTATATCAGTCGTATAGCAGCCTTATATACCAAAGGGGGCGATTAACGGGCTTGTTGGTTACTTGGGTAACTAATTCTCTTGGGCGGTGGTTACATTCCATTATTCCAAATATTTCTTCGAGAGCGTGGTTCAAAGGATGTAAGTCAGGGCTGTATGTATGTCAGGGCTTTATTCGCAAAATACAAATTCAAACATTACTGATTTTCAGCTCTACAAAGAGTCACACACGACTGAGCCTAGTTGTGAAGCATATTTTGGATTTTTCAGAGCATTCCAGATGCACATTTTGACTGGTCCAGACGCTTTGGGTGCTTCGCAGTCTGAAAAACACTGCTCATTACTTTTACACTATACATTCACCGCAGTATTATTGGTCACCCTCTATTAAGGCCACTTCCTTAAAATTAAAACGCAGAAGTGACTGATCCATAATAGTGACTAGCTGCCCCATAATACTGGGAGGTCTGTACAACGAAATCACTCGTTTTTGTTTTTTTTTTACATTATGTGTCAGCGGCAGAGAATGTCTCGGCGAAACGATTTTATCGTTTCAAGACTTGTTTTCTCTGACACTGATCGTCTGGATATACGGGATGTACGGAGTCATCTACCCTGATCACATCAGATTCTTGCTGATGAATAGGAACATTAAGACGCTGCTAAACACAACGGTACCTACATTATGTGTTTGGAACTAAAACTTTAAAAGACTAGTAAGTATTTTGAAATGATTCTTCACAAGAGTTTCAGTTGCAAAAGAATCCCAATTGCTGGAACGTATAGTCTAGTGAATTCATCTCGCAGTCATAGGAGACAGGGCCAATACGTAGGATGATTTGCCTAAAGTAAAACAGGTGGTACAATTGCAGCTGCTGTTCCGATTTCAAGGCAAGGAGATAATATTGATTGATGACCTCGTTGATGACCAAACATTGATGCAGGTTGATGCAAAATCTGAAGGTGTTTTATCCTTTTCATTGTGCTTTTTACTTTATATTCATACATGAATACAGGTTTATTGCTGGTTTATATCCGTTATTCAGTGTCCTTTAAAAATAATTATTTTAGTAAGCTTCTGGCGATTAGAAAGCTTGACCGGAATGATCTGCTTTGAGTAAACTTCAGTTCTGGTGTGAAGATATTTTTCCGATACCAGTTGAAGTATGTGGAGCTGATGATCGTCGTCACAAGGCAAAAGGAAATCCAAATTTGCAGCGCTCCGTGCAACAGAATTTATGACCATGTTATCGAAATGCAAGCTCACATTCACGTTCTTATCGGTTCCAACAAGGTTCTGAAAAGTAAAATTATGATTTTTTACCCACGAATACTTATGATGATAATCTTAGCTCATATACTTACCCTAAACTCAAATTCAGCTGCCTTGCAAATCACTTCAATGCATTGCTCGCAGATGATTTTAAGAGCAATTTGCTTGCCAAGTTGCTCAATGTTTGTTTTTATAGCAAAATGAATGATATCATCGTTGCGGAATAGGTAGTTCCCATTTATTCTCCATTTCCAGGCTAGCCGTTTCTTGAAGGGGTTGATTTGAATCCATATCAGGCGTATCAGGTATGATATCACAGCATTGTAGAAGTGGCGTAGTATTGAACTCAGTACAATTACCATACGATGAACCGCTAATTTCGATTTGGCTCAGCATCCTTTTGTAGCTTGAAACTGGCCAGCATTTGGATTATTATTTGAACCGCTTTTCGATCTTATTGCTCCGAAGAACATCTCCAAGTGGTCTTGGCTTAAACGGTACGTGTTTATAACTGACATGATATTATTCATATCACAGTATTCTGTGTAAAAATAACGAATTGTTTCCATGGCCACAAGGCAGCCAAGGCAACCAGTCTTATACATAGATTTCAAAATCAATGTGCCATCTAGTAGCTTTATACTTCTGATGTAACCTTCCGCGAAAGCAAATGCTTCCCGAATATCATGGATATTATCCTCACCAAGTGGTTTTTTGAAATTCTGAGCATCGCTCCTCATACTATTCAAAATATTGAATATATTATTGAACAGTTGCAAGAACTCAGCAGTATGAACGGAATCCGTGAAATCAGCTTCATAGGAAATTAAAAAAATTCAAGGCTGCTACGCTGCCACTGATGGTTTGAACAGCCAGAATGACTATCATTTTGCTGTTTTCGAAAAGGACATGTTTGTCACTTAAATTCGCTGCTATTTTTATTCCCCGATCATTTTGATATTCATTCAGCTTCTCTATATACTCCCATTTAACAGTTCCGGTTCTTGAAAGCAGTGTCTGCTGAGAATGCAAAGTGTTATGCACCAGTTTAATCATGTGTACAACGTCCAAAAGTACGCACACATCATACTCGCCACATGGATGCGAAAATTTGGTTTTCAAATTCAGCCAATCGGCACGTAGGTCACAGCCAAGTGCGTTTGCTGTTGCAATGTTAGACTTTGTGCCATCAAAAGTGAATGCTACAACTTCGTGCAGGTTGCAGAGGATGGTATTTACAAGGTTCTTTTCTTCGGCTTTTAGTCCATTGATTAAATAATATTCAATCGACACTTTCCATGCTTCTTCAACGCCAGACATCATGACGAACAGCGCCTCTTTTGCGGGGGTTAAATTTTCTCCCTGTGATGTTATACCACCATAGTTCACAGTACCATCAAATCGTTGACTATGCTTCCCAAGGAACATTGCAGGTTTTATCGCAGTTTTATAGCATTCTACAAGTCTAAATCATGGTCTACAGAACCCTCATAAAACCAAAATTGTTACTTGGGTTGTTCCTTGTCACTTGCTGACAAATTGTCATTTCATCAATTAGTAGGCATCCATGTAGTTCCTTGCCCTGTTCTAACATCTCCTGTGCCTTCACCCGTAGAGCATCAAGAGCCTAG